TTTTTTGTTTACCAGGCACAACATCTCCAATACCATTGAAAGCGAAAGTTCCTCACCGTGACAATGATTACTGTACACAAACTTACAGAGGCTTAGAGATTGCAAGGCAACAAATTTGCGTTGGTGGCGGCAGTAATATTGAAACATGCACTGGTGATTCTGGTGGCCCATTGTTCTTTACTGCAACCTACAGAGGTACAACAAGTCGATATGTACAATATGGAGTTGTGTCACTAGGCGGTGGTGGTTGCGGTCGTGTTACGTATCCTGGTATTTATACAAACTTGAAAGAATTCATTCCATGGATTACAAATGTCATCGCCTAAACTACAAAAAAATGACGCTTACATTTTAATATAAATTTAGTCAACAAATATTATTTTTTACAAACGTTTGCATTTCTTGCCATATAGAATACACCTACTATTCTATAGTACCTATATTTAATGTTTACTTCATATTTATTTATTTAATTATACTTATCTATTTATTATATAATATTAAAGAGCATTTCCAAAAATCGTATGTTTTGAATTTTTTAAGAGATTAATAGTACTTGATCAAGGAAACACCAAGGGTACTTTCAGAGACCCTTTTAACTCTTAATATAACAAGATTATTAATGCATAGTTTTTTAATTTGAATACAAATTAAATATTATATTAAAATATTGGAACAAATACAACACATATCTGTCTATTAAGATCCTGCTAAGATCTGACATCTGCTACAAACGGTGCTTGCAAACTTACTCGTCTATTTAAGTATAGAAATTGGTGGTAATGTAGTTTCAACAAACTTTCTCTTTTATCTTTGATTTTACTTTTGTGTACCTGATTCGCACATGCATTTCAGATTGAACCTGAATTAGAGTTGACCATTATTGATGTTATGTATATTATGGAGCTTATATTAGAAAATTGATTCAATATTTTAGAACTGTGTAAGTCCTTAACACTATTTTCATGTTTCTATATTTATTTGGCTGCTGGATTGGGGTTGTATCTTGGCTCCGGAAACTCTATACATTTATCTATTGCTAATCTGTTATCTAACTTTCCTACACTCACCAGTACGCATATCTTCCCTGCAGTTTTTAACTTTATGTATAAAACGGTAATATAAACGGTAATGTCTAAAAGGATTTAGCATTGAGTATCTCTGTTCAAAATACTTTTAATCAATTTTATTAAAACTTCTTCTTGGTACCACTAACTACGGTTTCATAGTGTGCATTTTGTTTGAGCGCGACCAGTACCTTCCATCAGCTAACCCGATTTACAACTTTCCCGTAATCAGTTGATAGTAACTCGTGGCGTCAAATTTTTTCTTTTTAATCTTATCAACCAAAAAACGAATTGCTGAATATTATATTTTAAGCCATTAACATCATAGAAGAATTGAGGCTTAGGATTAGGTTGGGTTCAGAAGACGCGTGCTCACAGTTATCAACACTTTCAATCGGAGGCATATATTGCTAATTGTGGTGTCCTCAAAATTTATGCCGGGAGAGATGAGTTGCTAACATTTGTTATCCTTGTTAAACCATTTAGTTTTCCAGATGAAGTTGAGGAGATCCGATAAGTTTGCTTTCGTTACCTCTTTTAAGCCAGTGAAAAAGCGATTCCCAAGACATTGAAGTCGCCTTGTCTGCAGTCCTGGACAGAGACGCAGGAACTGATAGATTCTACCTCCTCTTCATCTTGGCAACTCCTGAATAATCCACTTATTGGAACTCGCCACTGTTGTAGCATAGGCGCAATGGCACAATGCCCCGTTAGTACTCCAGTAAGTACACGAACTGCAAGTTTGCTGAAGTCTAAAAGGCGTTTCGTTTTGTTTTTGTCCAAAATAGACCATAAGGTTCTAACTAAAAATTCTAACTAAGAATTTTTTTTGTTTGATATTTTTGAACAGTGAAACTGAGCGAGAGTTGAAAGCAAATCCAACAAATCTATCAGTACAAAAATTTCTTGTATCAAACAAATCAATGTAAATATGTAGTATATTATATGTACATATTTGTGTAAAAACTTAAAAGATATTGACGTTATAAAAATGTTAATTGAACTCATCTATTGAAGGGTTCTTTTCTAAATAATAATAATACACAATAATAATTTCATTCACTCTGGTTATGAAATAGCTTAAAAAACGTGCAGCTTAGTTTATTTATGATTAAAAACATAAATAAATACTGATTTAATCATTACGATTTTAATTTTACTAGAATGCGACATATCGAATATAGAAAAGAGAATATTTTGAAAATATTTAGTTAAAGATATAGATTAGAGACATCTTAGAAAGTGTATTGTTGTGAAGGATGGAGGATATTTTGCGAAACAACGTATTAAACATTTAGAAACCAAGAAGTGTTGAATTAATATACAATTTATACCATTCTTCAATATATATACAAATACACTATATATGTTATGTATAATCAAAAATTGATAAAGTAAGAACCAGATGACTACGAATGAATCACTCTGGCACTTGGGAATACCACCACTTAATCGAGGTGCAAGTGATTCAATCACTTAATCGTTCATGCAACGTCCACAAACGTACAACCTCAATATTTAATTGTTATGTATCTGTAACTTTTAACACAGCTACAACACAACTGTGACTAATCAAAATCAAGCTTTGTTTTTGGAGGCACCTGAAGAAACCAGAAAAAAAATGTTTGATTTTACTTAATAATGCATTTGCTGACACAATTGCAGAAATGCCTGCCACTCTACTGGATGATGGTTCATAAATTATGTAAAAGAGCCAATAATTTTCCAATATTACGGTTAAGGATCTTAACAAGTAGAAATACATATTAAGTAAAATCAAGTATAAATTAAGTAAGGAATTTTATGTATTTGAGTAAATCATGTTATTGAAAGTGAATATAGGACAATTCTTGAATAATGAAGTTCTTAAAAGATGATAAATTATTTGCATTTATGGAAACATTAGAGAAGGAGTTTCAGAGTCTTCCTGAATAAATGAAAAATAATCTAGTCGTAGAGAAGTATGTGAATCCAGACATTATAAAATGAACAGAATTTATTTTAAAATTTGTCATGAGTAATATTTATTAATATTTAGCATGTAGTATGTGGTAATTCTTCTATGAAAAGAATAGAACTTCAAATATATACAGAAATATTTTTAAAATATCACACATAAGGATGTCTAAATTTATTAAATGTTTTAATATATTTACAAAAGACATTTTGATTTATACAATTATAACTAAAGATATTATGAATAACAGTGTGCATATCGCTCTAGTTTTAATCATTTCATAAAAAGATAACATCTTATGTCAGTATCAGTATTAATACCGGTATCAGTATTAGTATCAGTTTTTGTATCAGTATCATTATCATTATCGTTATCCATTGTCCATTATTTATTATCCATTATTTATTATCCATTATTTATTATCCATTATTCCGTATCATTATCATTATCATTATCATTATCATTATCATTATCATTATCATTATCATTATCATTATCATTATCATTATCATTATCATTATCATTATCATTATCATTTCATTCATTTTCATATTCTTATCATTATCATTATCATTATCTTATCATTATCATTATCATTAATTCATTATCATTATCATTATCATTATCATTTCATTATCTTATTATTTCTTTATCATTATCATTTCATTATCATTATACATTATCATTATCATTATTCATTTCATTTCATCTTATCATTATTCAATTTTATTTATCATTATTCATTATCATTTCATTCATTCATTTATCTTATCATTATCATTATCATTATCTAAATATTATTCATTATCATTATTCATTATCATTATCATTATCATTATCATTATCTTATCATTATCAATCATATCATTATCATCATTATCATTATCATTATCATTATCATTATCATTATCATTATCATTATCATTATCATTATCATTATCATTATCATTATCATTATCATTATCAGTATTTAAAATCATTTATTAACCCTCAAAACTTCAAAGATAGCTTAAATCGAAACTTTCTTGTACGCGTGTCTGTTATTTATCATTTGTGAATCATATCGTGATTCATATTATGAATCACTAAGGTATCTTATTATAATCATTCAAAATATTTTATGCGGTTAAGCTTCTGTTATATATAATTAATATTTAAAAAGCCATGCTAATTTGATTGGTATTTGAATAAAAAAACATACATACATATGTATATAAAATATGGTGCCATTCATTAGAGATTATATCTTAAATGATTGGCATTAATTGTTATCATAAAATGCTTAATGGTTGTCTTCTAATAATTGCCGAAAGATTATAATAAATTTACAAAATTCTGAAAGTGACGCTCTCTGATTTTAGGAAATAACCCTGATACTGGTTATATGGAGATGTGGAGACGTGGAGCCACTACTAAAACCCACATCATATCTGAAAAGCTATTACTGGGAATTTTGTATCATTTCACAATGTTGCTACTATAAGATATTTTTATAATTTCTGGGAAACAATTAAAAGTGAAATAATTAGACGTCATTCAATTATTATTAAAAGAAATTTTTTTTATCTGCTAATTCAAGTTTAAATGATTTCTGAAAATATAGATCAGTGATATTTTAATTTTACTTAAATCCAGTTTGTTTTTAAAAGCCACGACATGTTCAACTTTTTAGAGAATCTCGCCACCATTTCCAAAGAATGCATTAATATTTAATAAGAATTTCATATTTCCCATTTAATTGCAATGAAGTGATATTATAACAACAACTACAACAACAACAATTAAGCGCCAATTTAGAGAAGTTGGAATTAATTATTT